ACTTAGAATGACATTCTCCAGGAGCATCCATGTTGCTGCTCCTGGGCACATATCCAGAAGAAACCCTACTTCAGGATGACACCTGCACCCCAGTGTTCATAGCAGCATTATTTACAATAGCCAAGACATGGAAATAGTCTAAATGTCCAACAGCAGAAAGAAGATGTGGTATATTTATACGATGGAATACTACTCAGCCATAAAAACTGACAACATATCGTGGTGTTATTTTCATTTGGACAGTGGTTCTCAGCAGGCCTAGCGGCATGGATCAGCCTCACCTGGAAACTTACTAGAAATGTGAACTCTAGGCTCCATTCCGGATGTAGTGAATCAGAAACTCTAGGGTGGGGCCCTGCTATCTGTGTTTCAATAAAGCCTCAGGATGCTGATGCCCCCCTCAGTCCGAGAACCATCGTGCTAGAATGTAGACTCCTTGAGAGTAGAGACCGTGTCTGTTTTGTGCACCACCTTACTCTCAGCCCCCGGCAGAGTTCCTGGCAGGTGTTAGCTGCTCAATATTTATTAGTTGGTTGAATGAATGTGTAAGTAGATGAAACAAGACTTGTCATAAGGGATGAGCTTTGGGCCCTGAGCTGGGTCTCAGACTGAACTATGTGAGACAAGCTTTCCTAATGTCCCTCAAAAGTCTTGAAGCATCAGCCACCTGGTGGGTGGCCAGCGGGGTGGAAGTCAGTCCACCCCTAGCTTCAGGGGTGACTCCCAGCGAATTTCATGGGTGTTTCTTTGGTTCTATGAGAAGAGAGCTCTGAAAACTGTAGCTCTTTGTCATCTAAAATTTTTAACTAGCTTAAAAGCCAGCACCTCTCTCTCTCTCTCTCCTTTGATTTCAGGGCTGAGATCCAAAGTGGGGCAAAATGACAACGTGCTGTCTGTTGTCACCGGGGTTCCTGCCAGCCCCGTGAAGACATCTTTCATTCCATCATTAAACATTGGCTGATTTTCTAATACTGATGTTTTCTTCACCTGAATATTCATCTTTCCCCACCCTACACTTAGTGGGTGTCTTTACTCCTTTGAGCGTCACTCCTGACATATTGTTTCTGTCTGTGCGTGTCTTGATTTGAAAGAATCTGTTGTCATCAAGACTTTGCTGCTACAGGCGAAAGATGGAAGTTTTCTGAGACACTGACTAAGGCCAGAGGGAGTTCTCCTAGAGGAGAGAAAGGTCATACAGGCCTTTGTGGAAATCTTCTGATTTGGGGTAAGCTGAGGTGGCATTTAGAGAGGGAAGGGAAAGGCTCGGGGAGAAGTAGGAGAGAAGGAAATGAATAGATTCAGGCCAGGGAGGAAGCAGGAAGTAGTCAAGTTTCCAGACTTCAGATGTTGGTGTGGCTATTTCTGGGGGAGGAAAAGGATACCACAAGAGAATTCAGAGATATTTTAACTTTACAAGTGAGGACAATGAAAGCTGTGAGTGGAACCCTCTAAGCGATTGTCTCTGACATTTGGGTGAAAAACAGTCTCACCTGGACGAGCACCTAGGCGGCCACTTGGTGACGTGAAAACACCTGATGAACCCAAGGCTCCCTCGCGGAGGGAGGCCTGCTGCACACGCCAGGTAACATCTGCACTGAGGAAAAGCTCAGCGCTCGGGACTGCCTGAGGCCTGGGTTCTCTGAAGCTTTCTTAATATTTCCTGTTCCTCTTTCTCCATACTCCCAGAGCTACTTTGTGCATAACCTCAGTCTGGGCACTGAGCTATGCTGGTTTCTAATTTCTCTGTGCAAGTGTGTCTTCCTCATTCCACCGAGAACCCCTTTAAGAGCAGGAACCATGTTGTAATCACCTCTGTATACCTGGGGCCTGGCGCATAGTAGGCGCTTAAGAAATATTTGGGTGACTGAAATGAACTGGTATGCTGTGGAGTCCATTCTAATGCTGCTGTCCAAAAGGGTATGAGGGGGAGAAAGAAAACTGGCCCCTCCCTTCAAGAAGCTTATCCTTTAGGTGAGGAATAAACTGGACACCAATAAAACAATGAAAAAACAATAAAATGTTAGATTGTATGGTGCTGACAGTGTCTCCTGAGAGCGTGGAGAAGGGAGAAGGCGATGTGGACTGGAGGTGCCCATCAAGACAGCTTGATAAGGGCTGGGATTTGAAAGATGAGTGAATGCTGTCGGAGCTGGTACAGGAAGGAGAAGTCAGGTTCCCCGGGAGGTAACTTACTGCTCTTGACACTGGGTACTCACCTCTTCTTCCTAGACAGGATGCTGTCTAGACAGTTGCTCCTTTGAGTGATGGAGTATGGGGGCCTGATGGAGAGCATCTGGGTGGGGGACTGTCACTGAGGAAGAAGTAGAGGCAGCTGTCTGTACCTTTCATGTATTTATTTATATGTTTTTATACCTATTTCCTGGCTGAGTGAATCTTCTTATCAACTTCATACACCTGCTTAAGGATCGTTCCTCACACAAGTAGCCAGTCATTGGGTTATCCTTGGTGGCCACAATGGATCTAAAGACTCTTTCCAGGGGAATGGTGAGCATATAGCATTTTTTGGCTATTAATGTCCTCTAGGCATCATCTCCTCTTATTTCTCCTCTTCCTAATGCCACTGTAGCGGTAACTCCGTGACGATGAGAAAAAAAATCCTCAGGACCCCTGTTTGATTCCTCCAGGAAGCATTTCTCAGCTGTATGTGTTCCTTACTTCCATCCCAAAGTCATCCAGGTTATTACAGATCCATTGTCCTGATGACAAATCAAAGGCTCTTATCTCATCTTCAAAATAAAGACTTACTATTATCTCAGAGATGAGAATGGTCCAGATGACGGGTCGGAATGGCAGTGACATAAATGCTACGGTCAGGCTGTAGGTTATTTTCACTGAGAACTTCCTGTGTAGCAAGGACGTTGGGTCCGTTTTCCAGACTGGGACGGAGACACATTGATAGATTCTTCTTCCAGGGGTGTGTGTGTGTGTGTGTGTGTGTGTGTGTATGTGTGTATCTACCTTTGAGTCAAGAGTAACCATTAGTGAATATTTTAAAAGTTTAGTGTACAATATAACCACTTGGATTTCCCCAAAGAGTCATTCTTCATTCTTTGTGAGAGAAAAGAGGAGAAGCAGCAGATAAGCTCTAACTCTGCAAAGACCTCATGGTACAGATTCCTGAGCATCAGACAAATTGCGTGAACCTTTGAGGCCGTCACCCTCAGCCTTCCTGAGCTGTCTCTGACTGATCTCTTTCCAGATACTTTGTTCTGCACAAGCTGCCCAATTTGAAGTTTCTGGATGCCCGGAAAGTCACCAAACAAGAACGAGAGGAAGCTTTGGTCAGAGGAGCGTTCATGAAGGTGGTGAAACCCAAGGTAAGTGCTCCACTCACTGTTTTACAAGAGGATTTATGTCTCACCTGTTGAGTACTCTTTGAGCCTGGAGGATGCCCTCCTATGTGCTGAGAATGGGGAGATCTCACAACAGGATTTCATCCATGAACACACTGTTGGCCAAATAAGGAGGAATACTGGGTATAAACTGGGACTTCCAGTGACCCAGTCTAAGTGATCTTATTCATAAGGTGATTTCATGCTGGTGGCTCTTTTATCAATGAAGCAGCATCATACGCAGCCCGATGGTGACATTCCTGGGGGGGGATTTCAGACCACCTTGAACATGTTTCATTTACAGGGTGGGGCCTCTGCTGGTCTGGAGCTGAGAAAGGAGAAAAAGGAAAGCAGTGGGCACTGACTGTTTCTCAGGTGGCAGGATTCGTCACGTGCCTCGTAGGGGGCCCTTTTTTCTTGGGACCAAAGGGTATCTGGGGGAGAGTGACTGTCTTCTGTTCACAGGTGAGGGCTCAACAGCTCTTGGAAAGGAAATGTTATCAGAGAAGGCAGTTTTTCTGGCAGTCAGTGTGACCTGGGACTGGCTTGTGCCCCCTCCGTATGTCTGTCCAGAGTTCACAGGCATGCTATTTGCCGACCTTTCCTTCATCAGCTGAGTCTGCATCGAGGCTGTGGGACTGGACATGGTGTCGCCTTAATGACAGCGTTGATGAGGCGGGGGAGATTTGGCTTTGGGTCTTGGATTCAGACACAGGGAAATGATTAAGGACATGGGCTTGGGAGGACGGGGGTCCTTCAGTGTAGCCTGAGGCTGGGGAATGGACTCAATGACCCCTCTGGAGGTCCACCCCGGCCCTGGAGCTCTGTGGAGCTACAGTCGCTTCCTGTGGGATCCTGTCTGGTGTGTTGAAAACACTGGTCCAGATACCCTCGAGGTCCCGTTTGTCCTCACTGATCGACTTAGAGTGCTCTGCACGTGCATTGGAAATGATTGAGAGGGAAAGAGGGAAAAACAAACAGAACCAAAACAGAAAAATGAAACCTCTTCCATCAAGTTGAGCAGCTGGCAGCAGACCTCAGGCCACTTCCTTTCCCTGAATCCATGAGGTGCAACTTATTTCCCGTTTTGCTGAATAAAATCGCTAACAGTTGTGGAAATATACGATACGGAGAGTATAATCCTGGCAGATAAATGTATTGTTACCTGTTTCAGCATGCGGGAAATTAATTGAGTGATTCATTTCGTAGCTGTTAAAGTGTTAACAGTTTTCCTTATCGAGGCACCGATTTGATATATTGCTCACGACTGCCTTTAGTTATTCCAGCTTTGGTAATTTTGTCCAAATGAAGTAATTTATTTCTTGGCCTCTTTTTTTTTTTTTTTTTTGGTTAAGAGATTCCAGAGACAGCCGACATCACCAAACAAAGTACAACAAATGGACTGTTTATAGTATCTTGGGTTCCTGCCCACTCTACATTTCTCACCGTCATGTATACGTGTGCTTTATGCAGGAAATACCATTTCTCTTGCTCTCATTGTCTTGGACAGGGAACCTCCATGTTGTCAGTGGAGATCTGGAGGGGTCTTAAAGGTAATACCCGCCATGTTGGGGTGAGGGGCTCAGTGGTGTCCACTGAGGGTCATTGTCTCCAGTTTTGTGAATCTTCACATAACCCTTTAGTGTGGAAAAAAGGATGCATCGGCTTCCTTCACGGATGAGGTACCTCGGGCCTAGAGACGCTACTCGGGCTGCGCATGTCACCAGCTGATGAGGGCTGGGGCCCGCGCCTTCCCTGGGTGTCTGACCCCAAGCCCGCTTGCTTCTGCTCTGATCTCTTCTGACCCCTGGAGCGTCGAGCTGCACTTTCTCCCCGTGCATCTCTGCTCAAACAGAACCTCCAAGGGAGGCCTAAGAAAACAGGTAAAAGCAGGACTGTTGGGTTAGAGGAGAGACTGGAGGAACTGAAATCCTCCACTGCCTTTGAAAGCAGGGAATGGCTCCTTAAAATCCAGTGGTAGCTGGTTCTCTTGAGTCATGAGCACCATCAGCAGAAATGCTCTCGGAAGCTCCAAATTAGTTTCTAATCAATTACAGAATTAGCTCATGTTTGTGTGATTGACTGTAGCATCTTTACTAACTGTATTAAGCTTTAAAATGTCCATTAATTATGTGAGGAGAGACAAAAGTCCTCGGAGCAAGCCTGAGGACCTTGGGTTGTTATCCTTTTGCAGAGTCACGTGGCTTCCAAACTGGCAAGGGCTTCAGAAATCACCTGGTCTGCGTTCTCATTTTATGGGCAAAGAAACTGGGAGAGGATGTAGTTAGTACCCTAGGGCCCCACAATCCAATGGAGGCAGACCTGGGACCAGAACCCAGCCATCTGGGCTCCCAGTGAAGTGTCCTATTTGCACCATGATCTTTTTAGTGCACTAAGGAATTACTCTGTGTTTCTGGTTTCGTATCAAACTGCATGCCTCTCTTGAATGGCAGGCAATTGCCTTTTGTCTGTTATTTTCCAAGAGATGCACTGGTACTTTTCTTGCAGATAGAAAGAGGCCAGATGAGCTTCTTGCTGAATTAATAAACCCATGTGAAAGAGGCTAGTTCTCACCTGCTCACAGGATGTACAGATGTGTGTTTGTTCCTTGCAGGTGTGTATATATACTTTCCACATACATATGTATATTCTGGGAGCTGCACGTACATCCGGAGTCAGCTCCTAAGCAGAGAGCAATTTCATCTCCATGAATTGCCGACGCTGTGCTGGGCACACTTGGTGAAGACCTATTTTTCATAACAGAATGAGAATCTCAACTTGGCTTGTGTCCTTTCCGAGGCAGTGGAGGCCTGTTGTGCTTATTCAGCAGAATGCGCTGACGGATGATCAAGGGGCCGTGATCTGGGGAGCTGTAGTCATTTTACTCCTGACATAAAGTATTTGGGAGGATGGAAAATGCTTCTCCAATCATGGCCCTTGCCTTGGTGGTAGGGAACGGGCAGTCTGGGTGTTCTCGGCTGACGCAAATGCAGAATCGTCCAGCCACTCAGAAAGCCTCTGTGTCACAAAGGTTTGATTTGGTTCCTGGAGGCCCTGGTGCTTCAGGTGCGAGTTCGCTCTCGCCGCCTCTCACGATGACACATTTCTCCCTCACTGCTGCCTTTTGGCTTTTGTTGTTTGAAAGCTGCCTTCTGTCTGAGCTCTGATTGTTCTACAGAAGAATGCTGTCATTCATTAGGAAGTGGTAGCTGATGTTACAATGGACTCTTCTAGACCCTGTGCACGTGTGTATTTACTGAATGGTCCTATGACAGCTCGGCTTTGCTCCTTTCCCAAAATTTTAAAGAAAGTATATAGCTTTGTCAAGTATTGGCCATTGGCTCACACTGTTGTCAGCACAGAGAGCACCAAGCTGGATGTAGAGAAGGTTGTAACCCCCAGAGAAAGGCTTCTGTAATGACCAGACTGTGACCCCCCCATCACTGCTCCGGGAAAACATAGATCAAAGCCGTGCAGAGGGTGTGTGCGGTGGGCACACCAGCCCTGCACATCAGACACAAAGCGCAAACATCTGACAGTCAGGATTGCTTAATTATGTCCTAGCTTTGTAATGATTCATCCCTGTTTGGGCAAAGAACACAGTTGTCATTTTTTTGACATAATTATTTAAAGCTGAGCCCTCTTGTTTGCAGTGGTAGCTGGTTAGGAATATAGGAAGCCAACATATAGGAAGTTGGCTACCAATGGTTTAATCTTCAGGAGAACACAAAAGTGAAGGGGAGAGCAGCTCCCAGGGCTGCTGGACTGAGAACCACAGTCTCCGTTAGAAAGTATTTAGACACGAGCGTGTTTGCTTATGATCATGGCCACTTTCACAGAGGTAGGACAGGGTCATAGGTGTGTTCCTGAGTGTCAGCGTGTCCTTGAGCACACCCTCTGTATCTTAATGTGGGCATGTCTGGAATTCCTATTGTGTGTAGCTTGTGTATGTGTGTAATTTTGCATAGCTACACATATTTGTGTGTGTGTGTGTGTGCAAGAGAGAGAGAAGGAGGGAGAGAGAAAGAGAAGGAGGAAGGGAGGGGAGGAGGGAGATGTGATGTGTTAAAGGAATAAATGTGTGCCATCTGGAAGTCTTCTGTATATTTGTCCTTAAGCTGAAGGTTGAAAGCTATTTGGGTCCAAAGGTCGCTGGCTTCACTGATTATACTACACAGTTCTGTTCTTGACACATGGAGTTGGGCCCAAACTTTCCTGGGTACCTTTAGTGTCTTCCTTCTGTGTCTCTGTTTCAAAGAAGGCCACCAAGGACC